TTAAGTATTTATGCATACATAATTAATACATTCTTATATAATTTATATAGAAATAGTAGTTTACACAACTCTTATACAGTACTTCGACTAAAGTGGGAAATACCCAATTACTTATTTATCTATTTATTTATATTTTCATGCGATAGGCAATTAAGAGGCGGTGCAACAATAATCAAAATATAAAGGGATGATAAAAAGTAAAATTAAATATACACAAATACATATATATATATATATATATATATATATATATATATATATATATGTATTCCTATATATATATAGGAAGTATAATGGGTATAGTACAGAGACTGATTTTGTAGTTAGGAATAATAATTAATTCGATTACACGAATTAATTATCCAACGAGTCGAGGATAAGCTAGTAAAGGAATACGACAAGCGCACCGTTCCACGTCAGAGCCAAGCCTGTCCTAACGGCGGCAGCTCCGTCCGTTTTATACAAGCTAAACGGGCGCCACCGCAGGTGCAATGGTGCAGGTGTGCGGAGCACGTGTTATTTACAAGAATTCTGTCTAGCTACACCGACGTCGCCGCACGTGCCGTCATATATATATATATATATATATGTATATATATATATATATAATGTATGTATATATAGTTTTGAAAATCTAAAATTGCACGCCACATGAGTGTTTCATTTAATTTTGATGAAAAAAATGAATTGTACATATACCTGACTTTTAAAATATACTAGTTTCGTGTTTAAATTTAGCGCTCTATTATTTTAATAGGCAGTGTCACCTAAAGGGAAAAAAATAATGTTCACCAAAATCGATTCACAGAGTATAAAATCGATGAAGGCTATATGGTACATTTGTTCTTTATTTTTCAAGAGCTAAAAAATTATGAAATCGCATTTAAATTTTTAATTACAATAAAACTTGAAAATAATTTTATTAATAAATTACGCGTACTAGGCTATTGATATGAAATAGGGAACTAGGTGACGTAATTCTGAAGCTAATAAAAAAAAACGGCCTGCATACTTCATATGTCACGTGGTAGAGCCATGCTGCAGCTATATTAATAGTATAGTTGTAGCACGAATGGGTCGGCTCGACCGGGTAAGGACCACGCTCTCACAGAATACCAGCGTAAAATAGCAGCTTAATGCTGCTTTGTTTCGTATGGTGAGTGTAGAGAACCGGAGATCCATTTTACTGGAAAAGAAGCATTCTATCTTAGTCCTCAAGGCTGACAACGCATCTGCAATTTAATTCGCAAACGAAGATAGATGCAGATGTCTATGGGCCACAGCAACCACTTACCATCAAGTGGACTGTGTGCTCGTTTGTCACCCTAATTCTATAAAAAAAATAAAAAAAATTGGGGAGTTATCGTGGCCACATACAAAATTCACATCCGAACGTCCACGTAATATTTTTTTCAAACCATTTTTTTTCAAACTAGCAATATATAAATGAAATATTAAAATATAAAATGGATTAATTCAAGTGTTTTCTTGATAAACGTCTACTCATATTATTTTATTAAGTGTAATATGGTTATAATAGAAGCATTTTAAGCACACAAAATTGCTTGACCTTGACGTGTCTAGAGTAATGCACTGCCTAATAACGCTTTGCGTTATGAAGCGTACAATATACAAAATATATAAATAATTATGTCGATATATATGTATATATAGCTGTACACTTCTGCATATTATGGAGGGATATTACGCTTAACGGATGGTAAGAACTGATTAATCTTCTTCGGTGGCTTGTAGAATATTCTAATAGAAGCTCGCTTCAAGATGTAGCTAATTTTATCAGTGATTCCTGTGACATTTGATATATAGCCATTCTGCGTAGATCGGACCAAAAGTAATAATTAAAAAGCTGAAGGTACTCCGGGTTAACTTTGACATCAGGATGTTAAACACTTCAGTTCCAATCCCCCGTGGCTATGGGTGATGCAAAGCACCCGAATCGTCGGGAATTAAAAATAAGTAAATTAAACGCAATAAAATCCGTAAAAATAGTTTTTTCAATGTGTAGTGTTCGCGTAAATATAAGAAATCATTAACTACGAAATAAAAATAAAATTTACGCCTTGCCATATGACCTTTTTTCGTTATTTTATTATTTATCCGCATATGTTACGGTTGTTTGGGTTTGAGGCTTAGAGCCGCTTTAATAGATAATAGTATTATTAAGGTACAAAACGTTCGGCTTTGTAAATATAGGATGGGTAATCTTTTTCGGAGCGTATATCCTTTAAAATCTCTAAGTCTAGGCATTGCGACTCTTTTTGCCCATTTATATTATGGCTTTTATACAATTTTCTTTTTCTTAAAATAATTGATGACTCAGGTATCTAAGAGGGTATCCTTTACTGCTGCCTGTACGAGGATGCTCAAGTTCGCTCAGCGAGCCATGTGATAGACTTCATAATAAAGATATCCGCAGCTGAACCACAGCAACCGATTAGTAAACTGAAGTGAAATAGGGCAGCCATTTAGTTTGAAGGAAAGGTTCTCGAGGGGTTACCTACCAAATGGACGGCCGATCTGGTCAGAGATGCAGAATGCAGGTAGTCGATGTATGCAGGTGGCTCAAAACCACTCGAGAACCTTTTTTTTATAGAAAGGGGGAGCATACAGTCCACCTGATGGTAAGGGGATGCTGTGCCCGATAGACATCTACTATTATCCTCGATTAAGAATCAAACTCTTCAAAAACTTCGCTACCTTCTTCGCACGTTCTTGTCGTAGGTGATCCACTTTTCATCACCAGTGATCGATCTTTTCAAAAATGGTTCAGTGTCATTAAGTTTCAATGGATAATCGCAAATGAGTACACGATTCATTAGGTTTCTTTCAGTGAGCTCGTGTGGTACCCAAATATGCTTTTTTGTATAGTCAGACTTTTTCAAATGGGTCAAAACTGTTTTTAGGTCAATCCTCGGCTGTGTTGTAACTACTAAATTAGTAGTAGTTACGACCATGAAGCAAATACAAAGAGGAGACGTTGTAATTAAATTTCACTATGAAACAACGCGTGACAATTTGCGGGGTGAGGGGATGCAAAGCCCCGCCCACTTTACACTATCTACATCTACCGATAAATAGTAAAACTACTCGAATCTTTCCATATCAATGTTGCAATGTAGCTTAGCTACCTTGACGGTAGATAGCGGCATGTCCACAAAATGTTATAAACTAAAAAATAATTTTATGGCGATTAAAATTACTTTATGTCTGAATGCAAAACAAATTTTAGCACCTTCGTATGATTATTTTATCATTACTGAGCTCTACGTACCTTTATATTTTTAGTTCACAGGACAGAAAGTGTCGCCATCTAGTGTGGAATATATTTAATTATATTTTAAAGGTGTAAATGATTTACAAATGAAATGTGATGCCATTCATAACATCAGAGCGTCTATCTGAGTAGTTTTTACATAATAAAACACAACACTTCATCCTTTTCTTCTTAATACTACGAAAATACATCGATTAGCGATTTTTTCAACACATAAGCGCACAGGACGAATGCTGACAGTATACTAACTAAAGCCACGCCCACTATGATGATGTCAGGACCTACTTAGAATCACAGTGCACAGTTGCTTATGCCGTCTCCCCTTTGTATTAGCTTCGTGGTTACGACACAGTCGGGAATTTTGCTCCACTTTGAGCAATTATGCTCCACTTTTTCAAAAATGGAATCAACTTTATCCATATGAGGGCGACCAGAGCGAGCTGCATATTTGACTTCAAAATACCCGGACTGAAAAAGGAGACGGTACTCAATTCGACTGTTTTTTTTTGTTTTTTTTTTTTAATGTGTGTTACCCCATAACTTTTTACTGGGTGAACCGATTTCGATGATTCTTTTTTATATGAAAGCTGATACTTCTCGTGTGGTCCCATATGAATTTGATCAAGGTCAGACCAATAGTTTTGAGTTATCCTTAATACGAGTAACTTATATTGAAGTCGGCTGTACAAAATTTTTTATTTTAAATTATTGTAATGAAACTTCAGAATGTATCGAATTTATTCGTTAGATTCACTCATTTTGGCGGACAGAAAAACAATTAAAAACTATCGGGAAAGTGTTTTTACGAGTACTTTTTATTTTTCTCTTTCTTAATGTCCTATATGTATTGATTGATATTAAAACCAGCCAAATACAAACAGTACAACCAAAGAATTTTCTCTTCAATTTTATACAAATAAAATACGAATAAACTTTTTCTAGTCGTGCTAAGCCAGACTGCTGATTATGAGGTCTCCGGTTTGAATCCTGTGGCGAGTCAAAATCATATTATTTGTTTTGGGTTTTCAGTCAAAAATTCTCAATAGATGGCCGAAGTATGTAAGTAATTTAACAGGATAACACGTAGAGCCCTGTACCTGACCCCTTTTCAGTCGTTTTGATTGCCTTTCCATCGGACTATGGGAGTGACGGAATAGAAAGTGCAATTTTTATGTACTACAAACATTGATTTATGCTATTAAATTTAAATAAAACATTCAAATTTCATTAGTAGCGAATGGCTGGGTGCTATCATTTACTTGGGATCTAACAATATTAAAATTAAAACCAAGCCAAAGCATGCCATAGCATTATATTTAAAGATTTTGCGTAAATCCAACTATAAAGAAAAATTATAAGCTAAGAGTAGCCGGGTTAATAATGACGTAAGGGTGTTGAGCAATTCAGTGATAACGAGTGTTATAAAGCACTTGAAACGGCGGGATTTTAATTAATCGCAATATATTTGTTCCTTAAAATTATTTCAAACAACTGTTGTTTTTTTAATAACTTTATACTTTTAAAATATTGTTTAAATTTTTTGTGTAAAAGGGATTATAAAATTGAAGTTTATTATATGAGTATTGTATTTTTTAATATATTTGTTTATTTTTCAATTAGAAAAAGATAAAAAAATAATTTTACGACGGTATTATTGTTAGGCATATTTTGTTAATATGGAAATATTTTTTAATTTCAGAACAAAATGAAGAAGGTGCTTCTACTCCTTATGGTGACCTGCAGCATGGGTCAGCAGAATTGGGTCCCATGTTCCGAACTTAATGACGATCTGCGATACCCCTGCCGCTGCAAGGTGCAGGTTGACCGCGCGTTACAACTTGGTATTCTGATGAATTGTGACAGAGTGGTGTTCGCTGGTGATTATCCACCTCTGCCATACGGTGCTCCTATTGTTTCATTCAGTCAACGCTGGGCTGGGCAGCAATCACTGCCTACACAGGTTAGTTTTATAAAAATACTTTTCATAGTAAGCTTTATAATCACGTTGTGGCGTAGTAGTTGGTTAAACGGCGCGTTTTACCGGGACTCTAGTTACAGTGTGCTCTAAAGCTCTTCGAATACCTGTTCAATTCGTCTTTTTTTAAAGTAGGTAATTAACATGGTCGAGGCTCGCGTAAACTATTTTTTTATTGCATCACGATGGGGTAGGCGTGACCTAGAAAGGACTACTCTGCCATATAATGCAGCTTTTTTATATGGAATGGGGGTGACAAAACGAGCACACAGTCCACTTGATGGTAAGTGGATGATCTGGCCCATAGACATCTACATCTATCTTGGACTAAGAATCAAAATGCAGATGCATTGTGACTACTGCCCTGAGGACTGAGATGGAATGCCTCGTTTCCAGTAACAAATGTCTCCGGTTCTCTACACTCACCATACCAAAAACAGCAGCGTTAAGCTGCTATTTTACGCTGGTATTCCTGTGAGTTCACATACCACGAATGGGTTGGCTTGACCAGGCAAGCCCGGTCAAGCCACTCATTTGTGATACAACCAAAATGTAGCTGCAGCATGGCCCTACCACGTAAACTGAAACAGGGCAGCGGCATCTTTCTGATGACAAATCAAAAAATAATAAGAAACTACCATTGCCAAGCATGTCTAATAACCACAGAAGGACTTATCTTCATCATCGCCATTTACAGTTTTTAAATAGGAACAGTTGACAAACAGCTTATTTCAAGGTGTCGATAAATCTTTTGCAAATGCGACACAGTTATTTCGTTAGCTGTCTGAACAAGAAATACATCTCACATTTACGAATGTCAACTTTTTTAAAACGAAATTAATTTCGTGCATATTACAAATACATTAATCTTTTTACATAAGCTAATTTATATATACAATATATAATTTCATCTTTTAAAAAATTGCGTAAAAACGTCTGAAAACGATGCTCTGATTACTTTTTTATAAAAATATTCAGAAAGGTTAAAACGCGATCCCAGTATCGCGATCCGTTTTTACAAGGACGTTTTACTAATTTTATTTTTGCAGGTTATCAACTCTTACCTCGATCGATAAGATACATTCCTATGTAAAAAACGGAGGATCACTTTTGAATCTTGACAAATATCCACGTAATTTATTTTATGTATCCACACTATAGTAAAACTTTTCGCCAAATCAGTACAAATACATTATTCTCTATCGATATAGAAACCAAAACAATTATTTTTTGTTTTTTGTCCATCTGTCTGTCTCTTTGTTGTTCCTTTGAACACAATAGTATCTGAAACTACTACTGGACGGATTTAGCTGAAACTTGGTATGGTTATAGCTTCTACCCTGGACTAATGGAATTGTTTTACTTAAAAAAATATTTCTTTTCTTCTAACAAAACTTAAATCTCACACATACATTTTTAGTATTGTTTTAAATAAAATAATTGCGTTAATGTTAAAGTGTTGTACTCACCTATTAAGTACATATATATAATGATATAACAAAATGTAGCCGAAATGTTATCATATGTACTTAGTTGGTAAGTATAAATAAATAAATAATATTTACGATTTTTTTTAATGACAGTCAAGTGCAGTGTATCAAACATTAAGGAAAGTATCTTTTTATATAACATACATACACGTTACATTTATAGATCATTTAGAAGAAAATAAAAAGTACAAACCATAGTAAAAATGTCACCATGTTGAAAATACTAATCTAGTTTTACTTTTAATCAAGGTTGAAAAATATTTTGTATTATAATTTACCGACAGTTTTCACAGTTTACTTTAATTATGTGAATAAAATTCAAACAAATCTTTTGAAATGTCTTAAATAGTAATATTAGTTAGATTTGGTTAACTTAGTAGCTTAGGTTACCCCCGAACGGGTTCCCGTCTTGTCGTGGCGGGGGGCTTAGTAGTCGTGGACTAAGGAAACCCACATGGCTGGTCTGGGGTGAAGGACTGGCCAAATGGCTACCCCGAGTGGGCTTGGCGAGTCAACTTCGGTTGTGTGTTGGTGGATTACGGCGAAAAGGTGTCCAGTCCCCCTACCGCCCCAGCCGAAGTGGAGTTCTATAGACTACATGATACTACAAATTTTATATTTTTTAGATACTTGCGAAAATGGGCGTGACGGGAATTGATTGTCGGGGTTTGAGGGACAGGATAAATAAAATAAAATAAAATATAATAAAATAGTTTTTATTGTTTCCTTACTTTACATTTCGCTTTTACATTTTGTTTAAGTAATACACAATCAGCAGTACATTTCTAATTTAGGTGCTTAAGACTAACATGCACAAAATTAATACTTATATGTTTAGTTTTAGCAAACAGTATAGGTGATGTTGTACAGTTTTAGTAGTTATGGCAAATGTATGATGGAACGTTAATGACAGTTCAATAAACACAAGTTGATTTAATAATCATTTACCAATTTATTAATTCTTACATCTTTTTGCTTCCAATTGTACGCATCTGTTTGCAAAATCATACTTTCTATGTCTAAATCTGTTCTACATTTGTCAACATTTGTAACATTTGTCTAACAATAGTTATACAATTTTATCATACCACATATGAAACATCTATACCACCACTACTGTTGCCTTAGTGCTGAGTAATATGCTACAATTATTAAGACTATTATTCTATTCTATGTAAGGACCGCTAAGCGGTAAAAGCCTCCTCCAAGACTTTCCAATTGGCTCGGTCTCTAGCCAACCTTGTCCACACTCTCCCTGCTACTTTAACTATGGGATCGTCCCATCTTTTGAATGGTCTTCCTTTTTTTCTCTTCATTCCCAGTGGGTACCAGTTAGTTGTTATTTTTGTCCATCTATCGTCCTTAAGTCTTTGAAGATGTCCTGCCCATTTCCATTTAGATTTAAGCAGAATCTTTTTTATATTCTTTGCTTGAGTGCGAAGTCTTATCTCTGAGTTTTTTATACGATCTTTTAGTTTGATCCCTAGATAGCTTCTCTCAATTGCTCTCTGTGTGGTTTCTATTCTGTTGAGTTGTTTCTTTGTAAGTGTCCATGTTTGACAGGCGTATGTCAAACATGGAGTTAGACATACTTCCATAGCTTTAGTTTTCAGTTTATTGGGGAGGGTACCCTTAAATATATCTCTCATACTCCAGTATTTTTTCCATGTGTTCGTTATTCTTCTATTGATCTCTTTGTCCATTCCATTGCTAAATGAGATTTGATGTCCAAGATAAGTGTACTCATCTACATATTCAACGTTTCTTGATTGCAGTGTGACTGGTAGTTTTGTTACATTTGTCATAACCTTAGTTTTTTCGATGTTGATTTCTAAGCCAACTGAGTTACTGTACTCATTGAGAGTTTCCAATATGTATTGTAGTTCTTTGTGATCTTCAGTCAGCAGCACCAGATCGTCCGCAAATCTCAGGCGCGTCAGATACTTACCATGTAGTTTGAGTCCCATTTTGTTCCACTCAAGATTTCTAAATATGTGTTCGAGGACGGATATAAATATTTTTGGGGACAGTGGGTCGCCCTGCCTGACCCCCCTTCTAATACTGAAGAATTGTCCAGGTGAGTCAATTTTAACTCTCGCTTTGCTATTTTTATAAATCACTTTTAATATTTCTATGTAATCGTTGTTTACTCCCTGTTCCTTTAAAGTGCGCCATATTGAATCGTGACTTATGGAATCAAAGGCCTTAGAGTAGTCTATAAAACCAATATATAATGGCATTGAAAATTCATTATATTTTTCTATTATCATTTTCAGGGTGTGTATATGGTCTACTGTGGAGTAATCTTTCCTAAAGCCGGCTTGTTCTATCGGTTGGTTTTCATCAATCTTGGGAGTTATTCTGCGTAATAGTGTACTTGCAAATACCTTGTACAAGCATGACATTAGGCTGATCGGTCTGTAGTTTGATATTTGTTTGGGATCTCCTTTTTTATATAATAGAATAATATCTGAGGATGCCCACTGTGTAGGGATTGTTTTCTCTCTCATGACCCGGTTGAATATTTCCGTTAGTGGCTTAGTGAGGGCATCTTTCCCAGCTATAATCATTTCGTTATTAATTCCGTCTGATCCTGGGCTTTTGCCTGGTTTAAGTTTCTTGATAGAGTGCTCTACTTCGTTTTCCATGAATAATGGCGCTAGGTCTTCATTAGACAAGTTTGGTGGTGTTATATTTAGTGTATGGTGTGGAGTGTCATAGAGGTTTTCGTAATAACTAGTAGCTATGTATGTTATCTCCTTTCTGCTGGTTGCTAAAGCACCAGTCTTCGATTTTAAGTGACACATGAGGCTTTTTGATCTCTTTAAGCACTTGTAGGCTTTTTTGATAGCTCCTGACTCATTGATATATTTTTCCAAAGTTTGTAGCCTGTGATTTTGTTCGTTCGCTTTAATTTTATCGTTAATCTCTCTGTATAGCTTACTCAATTTGTATTTTTCTTGTTTTGTTTTCCCCTGTTTGTTAGCTAAATTGTGTCTTTGGTTGATGAGTTCTTTTATTTCCTCTGTTATTATGTTTTTCTTCTCGTTTATCTTTGGTATTTTTGCTTCTGCAACACTGTTGAGGATGCAGTTTTCGACTCTGTTGTAGTACTCTTGTAGGCTTAAGGAAGAAGAAGAGTGGGGGTTTTCACTGCAATGTGTTAATTCTTGTGTCAGAATATTGTTAAAGATCTTAGGGTCAACGTTGGCTTGAGGTTTTTGCTTGTAGTGCTTCCGCGACTTCTTTCTACTATTCAGATTTAGCTCTGCTCTCACTATACGGTGGTCACTAGGAAATTTAAATCTGCTCAGAGTTTTTACATCCTCTATTATTTTTGGAACGTTAGTCGTAATGAAATGAGGGACAGGATAGGAACAAATAATTACAACTAAGAATGGAAAAAATTATTATAAAAATATAATAAGTGTAAGGGGAAATATCTCAATTTTTTTTCCCGCGAGCATCAACTAACAAAGTGTTAATTGATGCTCG